CACTAGTAAATACTAGTGCACTTGTTGCTACCTCCCCCCTTCGGTTTCATGTATTCCTCTAAATCAGTTCAAACCTAGGAGGATTAAACATTAATGTTACCTAATTAATGTTAAATCCTCCTAGATTCAAACCTGAAACACCCAGATCGAAACTCGCCTGTCGTTATTTTACCATCGCCTTTTTTTAAAATATATTTTTCAAAAAAGAAAGATTATATTGATTTACTTTGGATTTTAAAAATGTTAACGTTTTATTTTGTTAAAGACTTATGGTAATACGTAAATATTGTGGTGTAGTAAAGTATATTATACTGTAGTTAAGTGTTAAATTTTGAAATTTTAGGGTGAATCGAGATGAATCTGTTTTTATAACATGGGTCTCTCCTACATTAACATACATACCAAGTTTCATAAACATCGGTTGGAAAAGTGCAAAGATAAATATTTGTATGTAAAAAATACAAAATGGTGGATATCTGGTTAACGAAACGATTTCGGAAAAAATGTTATCCTTGATTTTCTGTTTATTTTGACCCAAGGAATTACTAGGTAAAGTATCTCCCCGCTTATTTTTAACACCCTGTTTATGATGTATTCTTATAAGTGAAAAATGTAAGCTGGTAATACAGAAAGATGTTTTATAAATAATATGAATGTACTGGTGATCTGTATATTCATCTTTTTCTTGTTCTTAGAACTGTAAATTAAAAGTCCACTCAGCAGTCGCATCGTACGATGTAGTTCTTTCCATGGGTTGCGAAATGCTAAATTTGCCGTCCTCTTCAACCCAAGTTATCTATTGAACCACTGATTGTAAAAAAATCAAAAAAATATATTTTACGCATCACACTTTTGGCTACAACTTTGCCACAGACGAAACCTCACTAACCCAAAAACAAAAAAAATCTCGCATGCTAACTTTTTCATGTTAGAAATTACGATTTAAAACTATTTCACCATACATATCAATTTTTATTAATTATATCGGTAAATAGTTTAAAGTTCCAACAAAATAGTCATCGAGTAGGACTAACCAAGAAGCTCTGTGCCAATTTTCAAAATTTTAGCACAACTTTAAGTACACCAAAACACGAAATTATTGAAGTCATGCGTCGAGAGGACTATCGTTGTTTTTAACAGATTATACTTTTGACCTTCCGGCACTGTTGACTCAGCGAAACTGAACTTATATTTTATCTTATTTCGTTATATTAAAACTGCTGTTGCATTAGGTCAAATTCCCAATAAGTCAATTGCTTTAACATAGACCACGTTTTTAGCTTGGAGTGTACTATTTGACTTACTGGGATTTTTGATTTACAGACACTGCAAACATTGTAGTTTTTGACCTAGCGGCACAGGTATAAATTATTTGACCTTCCGGGACTGTTGACTTTCTGCAACGCGTCCCTTGTTTAGGAGCTACATGATGTAAAATGTACACCGGAAGTCATTTTTCCATATGCTGTAACTCCTAAACGAGTGGGTTTATCGAAAAAATGTCAAGGATAAAAAAGTTTTTAAATTGCCTATTCTACCTGAAAATGATATAAGCAACGGTTCTTGCAATTTATTGTTTATTGTTTTTTAGAGTTGTTTCGGACTTACTCACACTCGTATAAGGTTGTCCACGTTTGTCAATGATAATGTAGACATGTTACACCCGTTGTCACGAATATGTTTACAAGTTTTCCGACTGTTTTTGAATAGCGATACATTTTTTCACATACTTAAGAACCACCTGATTTCGTGCATTACATGTTCGTCTCAATTTTATTTGCTTTAGTAGGCATTCTTTTGGTTGATGAGGACTTCAATAGGTCCTTTGCTCATGAAATATATTACTTAATTAATTTTTATTGTTTGGTAAAATGGATTAAATTATCCAGCAAACCCAAATAGAAATAGTAAATATAGTATTTCAAAAAAATCAGTAACATGTTAATAATGTAGCCTACATTATTTCCTTGAATTGCATAACAGCAATTAATTGAGCTGATCCTTATATAAATAAATCAATATGTTCTTCATAGGCATAACATGGGTTCTTTAAGAGCCACTGGGGCTGAGCCCAAGGGATTTTAAAACGTAAGGTTGGTTTGCAAATGTACGTGACACGCTCTTTCTAATGAGACATGATTGGTCAAAATCGCCTAAGAAATGCGGAAGAGTTCAACGGAAAAATTTCATGTTGGCGTTTACAGTATGGTTGAAAAGTCCTGGATTGGCTATATTTTTTTAACAATATAGATAAAGTAGTGAGACTTGGTATATCAATAATAGCCATAAATATCTACTGTCTTAAGCTATTATCACTTTTTCATCCCTTAAGGGGGGTGGACCACAAAGACTAAGACAAAATTCTTATATAATTTTAATACTATTTTACCTGTTTTTGAAATGGCGACCATACAAATGTATGCATTTTAAGCCAAGTATGAATGGAGATGAGTGTGTGATGAGTGGGCTGTAGGCGGAAAAATACGAACAAACTAAACTATTTATTAACAAAACTTTTTTTGTGTTGAAATTTAAAGACAATGGTCTCAAACTCTACACCGAATAATGCTAATTCATAATGGTTATTATATCTATGATCGATAATGTAGCCATGTTGCTTTGAAATGGCGACCTTACAAATGGATGCATTTTAAGCCAAGTATGAATGGAGATGAGTGTGGGGTGAGTGGAGCGATGTTGTTGTCCTGTTTGTGACTAAGGCCGACATAATCCTTAGACACAGCTGTTAATTAATAGTGCATACAGTCAATTAATAGCAGCAGAGGTCAAGTTTGGTATCAAATTAAAGGTTTTATTCATAAAAATACATTGCCGCAAACCCAAACTCAAACGATGATGATAAGTCGCTAAAACGTATAGTTTGAAATTTAACAGCTGAAAATAAGTGAAATAGAAAAGGTTTTGGTTAAATCCATCAAATTGTAATTGGACACTAGTAAATACTAGTGAACTTGTTGCTACCTATCCCCTCTTCGGTTTCATGTATTCCTCTCAATCAGTTCAAACCTAGGAGGATTAAACATTAATGTTAATTAATGTTAAATCCTCCTAGATTCAAACCTGAAACACCCAGATCGAAACTCGCCTGTCTTTATTTTACCATTGCCTTTTTTTAAATATATTTTTCAAAAAAGAAATATTATATTGATTTACTTTGGATTTTAAAAATGTTAACGTTTTATTTTGTTAAAGATTTATGGTGATAAGTAAATATTGTGGTGTAGTAAAGTATACTATATTGTAGTTAAGTGTTAAATTTTGAAATTTTAGGGTGAATCGAGATGAATCTTTGTTTATAACATGCGTCTCTCCTACCTTAACATACATACCAAGTTTCATAAACATCGGTTGGAAAAGTGCAAAGATAAATATTTGTATGTAAAAAATACAAAATGGTCGATATCTGGTTAACGAAATGATTTTGGAAAAAAATGTTAGCCTTGATTTTCTGTTTATTTTGACCCAAGGAATTACTAGGTAAAGTATCTCCCCGCTTATTTTAACACCCTGTTTATGATGTATTCTTATAAGTGAAAAATGTAAGCTGGTAATAAAGAAAGATGTTTTATAAATAATATGAATGTACTGGTGATCTGTATATTCATCTTTTTCTTGTCCTTAGAACTATAAATTAAAAGTCCACTCAGCAGTCGCATCGTACGATGTAGTTCTTTCCATGCGTTGCGAAATGCTAAATTTGCCGTCCTCTTCAACCCAAGTTATCTACTGAACCACTGATTGTAAAAAATTCAAAGAAATATATTTTACGCATCACACTTTTGGCTACAACTTTGCCACAAACAAAACCTCTCTAACCCAAAAACAAACAAAAAATCTCGCATGCTAACTTTTTCATGTTAGAAACCACGATTTAAAACTATTTCACCGTACAAATCAATTTTTATTAATTAGATCGGTAAATAGTTTAAAGTTCCAACAAAATAGTCATCGAGTAGGACTAACCAAGAAGCTCTGTGCCAAATTTCAAAATTTTAGCACAGCTTTAAGTACACCAAAACACGAAATTATTGAAGTCATGCGTCGAGAGGACTATCGTTGTTTTTAACAGATTATACTTTTGACCTTCCGGCACTGTTGACTCAGCGAAACTGAACTTATATTTTATCTTATTTCGTTATATTAAAACTGCTGTTGCATTAGGTCAAATTCCCAATAAGTCAATTGCTTTAACATAGACTACGTTTTTAGCCCGGACTGTACTATTTGACTTACTGGGATTTTTGATCTACAGACACTGCAAACATTGTAGTTTTTGACCTAGCGGCACAGGTATAAATTATTTGACCTTCCGGGACTGTTGACTTTCTGCAACGCGTCCAAATATTCACAAATGAGCATGATCGGATTCTGGGAACAGGGTTGTATGGGTATAACATGAGTTTTTTCCATTTTTGTCCCCCGAAACATAACATTTTGCGATTTCTTTCAAAGTATCTTTTATAGCTTTAATAAGCAAATAATAAGTATACACCTAAAAGTGACAAAAAAAACTGTTTTTTCATTATGTCTTAATTTCTTATGTCTTCTCCTGAAGAATAAATAAACTATTGTAGTTTTCTTTGTTCAGGAATATATTTTTTTCATACTAAGCTATTAACCAAAAGCTTTTAACTAAGCTAATTTAAAAACACACCTTTTTTCTTTCCTTGTAGTAGCAAACCTAAGTGTTCATTAAAGTCAATGTTATTTAAAAATCAAATAAACCTTATAATTAGCACAAGGGGGTATTTAAGTAAAAGTCAAACCAGTTAAATGTAGATTTGTGTTTCTAATAATTTTAACCTAGATGGCAGAAAAGTCTCATAAGTAATTAACTATTGATCAGTCTGAGTTAGAATTTTGTTTTAGTAAGAAAAAAAAGAAAGAAAACTACGCCAATAACAGTGACCCCCTAAAAATGTAAGGCTAGGACTGCCCTTAATTAATTGTGCAATTACTGGATTCTGGTCCTTATTTAGGTCGCTTCCTGATCATGAGAAGACAGATGACAAGGACAGAATCCTGCAAGAAAAGGAGGCGGAATTGAGAAAAATGAAGGAGGCCCTTGCAAAGATGCAAGCTCAAATGCAAATAAAACACAACTAGTACTGCTGGCTGCCTTATATGGAACTTTTGTCTCAACTAATGATGTGCTTTTGATATAAGGATTTATTTATATATTGTTTAGTAAGTTGCATAAAATGACTATGATGCGTACGTATATAGTTACTATAAGCATTGTTATTTTGTAATCAAACGGACAGTATAACCATTGTATTCTAGTTAGTTATAAAGAATACTCGTTAATAATTTTTCATAATTTTATATTTACATTGACTGAGAAACGCAATACCTTTGAACCTCATTGTCTTTTTTTGTACGATTATGTTTTTGTAAACATAATTAATTTTGTCTAATTGAGCTTATTTTGCTTTGGAAGAACTTTAATGTTGGTAAACTAGTCACTATTAAAGAAAGACATCGAATTGTTTAAGCTCTATTTTGAATTAAATTGAACTCTATTCTAGAAGCTAGCTGTAAGAATCTCAGAAAATTCCTTATCATATTTTATTAATACCGAATAAAATATTTTTAGTATTTTTTGTTTCTTTCATTAGTTCCTAAAATGACTTGATAGTTTAGAGCAGAGTAGAATCTTTTTAAAGTTGAGTTGTTCTGGTTACAATCAAGCTTTTGAATTTATGGGATTAGTAAGTTATCCATACTGTAATGCTGTGCTGTGCTGTAGCTGGAGACATAAAATGATTCTTTATTGTAAACCACATAACTTGCCGTAAATTGTCACTAAAAGGGTAGTGAATATTGTATAAGTGTGTTACCAACAAATTCTTTTCATATTTTTATCCGACTTCACCACATGTTATCTTATCATTGTAGTGTCTTGGAAGTGAATACACAAGGTTCTAAGTAAACAGTAACCCCAAGTAAGATGTCCTGGGTTTGTCAGAGTAAAGGTAAACACAGTAAACTTTATGATATTAAATTCAGTTTTCTCTCAATATTTCACTTTATTTAAACATGGCAGAGATTTTTCCCCTCTGCCTTGGTGATTTCCAAAAAATATACCTTATATGTCAGTGTCTTAGCAAAGGGGAAATGGTATTAAAAAAGGATAGTAATTCTTGACAATGTAATTCAGAGGCGTTAGGGATCAAAATATGAAAGGCTTCAATGAATAAGAAAATGTACTAAATTAACTTCAAATGAAGTACTAAAACATTTTCCAAAAGCTAATACATACAGAAGACCCAATTACATAACTAAGGAAAATTAATTACCAGCACAGTTATTAAACTAAAACGAATGGTGAATTATTATTTATGAATTGGCAAGCAACTATCAAAACAAGATACAATACAAGTCAAACATGACATACATATTTTGATGAGATTCCCACTGTAGACTACACTTAATAAAATTAATATGCCTTAAAAGGCAACAGGCCGTTTTGAAAAACACTATCACATACACTCATGACTGAACTGGAACTTCAAGGTATGAATGAGCAACCAATCCGATAGCAACTAGGAGACTGTCTCAATGAATCCCTAGTTTCTTTGCTGATTTTAACTGCCTTCAGCTCCCATTGGTCAAGACAGTCCATGTGGACTTGATGATTGGTTGTCCAAAAAGTGCGTGGATCGCAGATTGTCTTCCGTCTCTCTCTTTGATGAGCGGATGCAGAGTTGTCAAAGCAGTGAAACTATTGGACAGGATGTTTTACAAGTTGATTTTTTAACAGATATGGGTTTAGTGTTTCAATTTTAAGAACCGAACTTCCATTACAACTGTTTATAATATTTGAGTTTTGTTTCCTTTTGGTTTAAGTGTCTAGTGTAAAATATAAAATATATTTTACTATAAAAAATATAAAAAGTCACGTCCCTCTAATTTTGTTATAATTTTCTAACAACAATAATAAACCATTTACTTAACATTGTTATTGATTTATATCTGGAATGCAGATAGACAAATTTTAAATCAGGCATCAGAGCCTAAAATCCTTATTTAATTCTGCATCCTGTCATAATCACAATCAGTGCAATAATGCAATAATAATCTAAGGAATACTATGATGAAGTATACTTGTTTATAACACTATAAACAAGTATCCAGTGGTACCACCTACATAAAGTCAAATCTAAATATATTTATGATTTTTACAATGGGGTTAATATTATGAAATAAATATTACAATTTAAATTAATTTTGTGCCAATTCCCCCCCCCCCCCCATACCTTCACGGCTCCTACAAAGCTTTGGTGGAACACTTAAGAACACCAGGGCTGAGAAGGTGCTGTTTAAGAACACCAGGGCTGAGAAGGTGCTGTTTAAGAACACCAGGGCTGAGAAGGTGCGTTAGGAGGCAGGAGTTGTCTTCCACAGAGCTATCGTATGTTTGAACATGGTTTACATTGTAGCAGACTTTTAACTTTATTATTGTTTGATTAAAGTTGTTTTAATTCATGAATGAGGCCAGTTATATTTTATTAAGTGGATTTCACCTAAATATTCATGTATTTTTTTCTTCAAGCATGAAACTAGGGACGGGACTGCTATTTATGTAAAACTTGCAGTGCGAAATAGTTTACTTCATTTCACAATATAATTCATTATGGTATCTGAAGATACATTACAAGCAACTCTGAACACTCCTATGTTGGTAAGTCAACCAAAATAAGAAAAATTTGACCCGAATTCAAGTGACATTGATGTTTGGAATATTAGATTCAAGCATTCAAGGCAAATCTGTTTTTGGGCAACATGACAAATAATAATATTATAAGATGTTTATTTATTGACCTAGTTGATACGGTTTATTTATATCAGGGTACCATAGGTGGATAGTAGAGTCCGTAATTTGCAAGCCAAAAGAAATTGGTGAATTTACTTATGAACAATTTTATGAGCTTTTGTTGAAACATTTCAAGCCAGTAACGTTTAATCTTTTCCCGGCTATGCAAGTTAATTAAAATAATTAGCCAGTAGTTGTGATTTTTCTTGTATCAATATGTTCTCATTACTTAATTTATAATGGACACTATTAGACCTAATTTACTGTAGAACTGCAATACTGTTTCTACTGTGCAATGGTCAGTTGAATTGGTGTGGAATGCCACTATGGCACCTGCCTGGAGTATCTGTTCTGGATATGCCATCAGACCCTCGGGAGCCACTCATCTTTACTCTTAACACGTTCGCTACCAATCGCCGCATATATGGGACGCTGTCGTCATTACCACAGACCGAGTTGTACATTTTAATATTACACATTGACTGGGTATCACTTGGATAACGGTACACGCAGACCACGGGCCAGTGATGTAAAAAACAGTTTTGCCATCTATTATATGACATCACCAATCATTATATCCACAGACAAAGTGACAGACATCTCTGTAGACCACTGCAGAGAATTCAGGGCCTTCAAATGGTCCAAATGAAATAAACATTTATTATTTTAGCGGTTGCGAACGTGTTAATGTCCTTTCAGCCAACTTGAGTTTGCTTGCTACTACTTCCAAAACTACTTAACGTTTTCACTTTTTGGGAGTCTTCATACAAGATATCAAGCTCCCCTCGACCTTGCAGTTAGTTCTCGATGTATGCTGCTCTACCTTGACTTGGGTTAATTTAAAAGGGAATAAAGAGAAAGTAATGCAAAGGATAGTTGGAGACAAATGTTTGACTCAGAGAACCCAATTGAGTGAGAATAGGCCTAGTACTATAAGATTAAGGATAAAAGCCTTACCAGTTCTCAGTACCCTGATCCTTTTGGGAGATTTTTCCTGGTAGAAGAGACGGATTAGGGGAGTACCCAGTTGTGACGTGCACATAATTTTACCCTATAGTAGAGGGGGAGTAGAAGGGTAGTGATTTTGGAGACATACTGCCTCGGCACATGTGAAAGCGCTTGATAACACAGTCACTTGCAAAACAAACAATTTTACCCTTACCAGCAGTTGTGGCAGGTTGTTAATTTATAATACACCCAATTCGTAATACACAAACGCCTGTTGCAGCTGTAAGCCCAACCAATGCTGAAGAGGACAGCTTAATCGACTCACACGACCGCGGCAAAATCGTGAAAATCTACCTTTAATCAAGGGGACGTCATCGTCGACACCCATGATCGTGGAGAAATCAGGAACATCCCTGGCAGGCCGCAATCACAGGGACATCATTATCATCCCCCGTGATCGTGGAGCAATCATGAACATGACTACATCAAGGGAACACCATCATCGTCACCCGGACCGGCAATTGCAGAGAAGTGTGAAAATCTCCCCTAAATAAGGCTATCATCACCGACACCCGCGAACGCAGTATAACCGTGATCTTCTCACAACTTCACGGGGGCATCATCATGTCACCTGCGGCCACGCGGAAATCAAACATCTCCCCTGGGCCGCGATCACAGGGACATCATCATCGTCACCTTCGAAGGTAAGCGTAAAGACAGAGTCCTCCTGGTATGCACATAAAGTAAAGGTCTTTAGTAGGCCTTGTAAAAAACAATGCCGCAAATTTGAGCTCAAGAGAACAACTGAGTTGGTAATAGATGGCAGCCGTTCAAAAATTCAAAATGGCAAATTCAAGAAATCTTTGAACAGCTGCCATTTTTGACTCGGTTGTTCATTTTAGGCCCGGTTTGCGGCATTGTTTTTAGTTCAACGAGACCTTCAACTTGGTGTACATATCAAGATATGCTTACTTTTAAGATTTTCAACTTACTCCCTATGGGCCATCCCCCATAGGCGACATCCGATCACCATGTACACAAAAAGTAGCTTACTATTACCAATAATGACATTCCAAATTTGGTTGTGAAGTCTCTTTTTGATTTGAAGTTATAAGTCGTCCTAAGATTTAATTGTCACCACGTATATCACTCTTGTTAAATATTTAATCATAATGATACTAATCAAAATCTAAAATAGTATTAGGGGGCCTACCGTGAATAAATACAAAAAGACGTGGGAAGAAAATAAATTATCTAAAATTTAATACTGTACTATGGATAAGGAAAAAAGTGAACATCTCATGTGTTTTCCTTGTTCTACCATCGCGTCACCCAAAAATAGAATCGCGACCTTGACCTTGATCTTTGAGAGCGATCCAGAACAGTGGCCGCGCCTGCACCTGCGCAGTGCGACCGAAAATGATATGACTCAACGCCACGTATGAGTCATGCGCGAATCAGCATCCCGCGCTGCACTATATTCTGACTCGGTCACTACTTTTCTTGGAAGAGTTTATTAAATTCATAATTGGCTTATGGCAAATGTACCAGTGTTGTGTATATTTGCATTTTGCCGAGTGCATTCAGTACCGTGTCTTCACTCTTGTTACACCACAGTCGACAGAAATTAATGTGTTTATAAGTCATAAGTCGTTTATTCAGCAAAATTAACATAAAATACATTAGCTACGTCAAAAAATTATTATTAAATATTGTACGTCTTAAATAGTCAGTCGCTAACTCAATAGCAAAGGAAATCTAACACAGCATCAAGTGAAGAAATTATAAATTACAGTAGGTAAACTTAATAAATAAAAGTTTCCGATTTAGCCTG